GGGGGGGGGGGCTAACCGAATGATTGACAGTTCTCGATACATAGATCTTTCGTAGGCCCCTCTGGGCAAATAATGTTAACTCTATCCGTAGAGTCCCATCCAGTTTGCTCGCTGATACTGGTGGTGTAGATCCCATAAGCCACTGACAATCCCAGTACACCTTGCTTTATCATTCCCTGGATAAAAATTACTGATATTCTTTGTGTCATACAAGAGATCTTATCAACAGACCTGACTGGACAGACCTGACTGGACGCTGGTTCAATTTTCTTAAAATTAATCCCAGCGACCGAACGACCTCGCGGCATGTCATACGACCGACATGTTTCACTACCCTCGTAGCTCTAAAAAGTACACGATCTCCTTTCCGGTACTAGGAGGTCAGATATATCACCTCCGGTCCGGTGGTCTGGCCAATGGTACCTGACTCCAAGAACTCGCGATACAGAGCGGCTTCCGCAGCTTGTTGCTCATGAGGACGGCAGCTGCAATAATAGTGTGTGCAACCCCAAGCGTTTCCAACCAAGCATGTGTGTGCAATGCTAGGAGCGTGTTCGTACTAGGGTTTGAGAGACTCGACAGGTCCGAAGTTTCCGGACTTCACCAAGTCATAGTATTGTTTACTGTGACTTGTTGGTTCCGTGGGGATCATAGGAATTACATGGTAGTGGACATGAGGGACTGACTGTCCGGCCCCCTTTCCATCCTGCAGAGTGAGTGTAACACCGCTAGGTTTGAGGTGGTAGAACTCTAGCATTGCTTTTGCAACCCGTTGTACCGTCTCGACCAAGTCTTTTTGTTCCACCCAACTCAGTTCATCAATGTACTTGACGACTCGTTTCGGGCAGACGAGCACGTGTCCTGGCCTGAAGCACTTTAAGTTTGTGAAGGCGTAACTGAACTCGCTGGAATAGAACACAGTATCATCCTCAATCTGGAAAGTATTAAAATGATACGTCATATGCGACAATTTAATTAATATAATCTAGCCACCCCAAATCAACCCAGACCCACACACCCGAACTGAGTGATGTAATCGAGTGATGTAATCGAGTGATGTAATCGAGTGATGGAATTGAGTGATGTAATCGAGTGATGGAATTGAGTGATGGAATTGAGTGATGGAGTAGACGATATTATTATTGAGGTGCAATGAACTGGCTAGCGGTGTGGACCACGTTATTTGCGATGGTCTCTGGGTACCAGTCGGTGCTGTCTGATATCATGGTGTTGGACGGCTGCACCGCTCTGAAGAGCGCCATACTTCGCATCACTGGAGCCGCGGTTCGAGTCGCGGACGGGGATGAAGCCTCGCTCGACACCAGGGCCGGAGTTGTTTACATCTACATCTTGAATCGATTACAAGCTGCAATCGACGAACTGGATGGCGGCACGGATGCAGAAAAGCTGGTCACATCAATGCTCGACTGTCCAAATTTCTCCAAGAGTCGTGAAGACTTTGCTGCCGTCAAAGGGAGATGGGATCTCGACTTTTCTGACCTGGTCAAACAGGTCAAAGAGGATGAAGATAAAAAGAGAGCTGACGCTGAGGAAGGGCGGCCTTCCTTAACCGACAGCGTGAGGCCGGCCGACATGACCATGAAACCCATGTGCAACACACTGTTGATGCGCGGACACGATCGACTTGGAGTGGGCCGGTTGGGTCGGGAGTTGAATCGATTGTTGTCTGGAGTACCGATGGGTTCCTCTGCCATGGCGAGTCAGGCGCACTGGGTGGCCGCAATTGAGAACTTTGACGTGTTCGCACACGTGTGCTACCTGAATCGTATCGCGGAGCTGGATCCGTATTCCGTGTCCAGACCTGCTCAGCAGGTGTTCAGGCTCATGATGGCCACGATAGAACGTTCCAAACTGGCTGAGGGGTTGCCGGAGTTATTGATGGTGGACCGAAACTCATTCAAAATTGATAACCTGTACAATAACTACGTTCCGGACTCCATCCAGTACCTGATTCGCATGTGGAGGCGCACGACAGGCGAACTACTTGGTGTCAGCCAATTCTGGCCACTGTGCGTCGGACAAACAGCCTACATCGCGCAGCTCGTCAACGTCCACGGAGATTCGCCCATGGACGAGTTTGACACGGAGATGCTCAGGCACTATATGAAGTGCGCGCAGGTATATAACCTGGCGCGAGCGGGAACGTTCTTCCCAAGCGATCAGTTCCAGCCCAAGATGAAGCTGAAGAAGAAGCTTCAACGAATTACCGACGTGAAGGCGGCCTTGGTCGAATTGGAGAAAAATATTGAGGAGAAAAGGCTGAAGGGCCTGCTATCGACGGCGGCGGACACAGACGACAACAACGGTCTGGAGAGGTCGGAAGGGGAGAGCGGTCGGTCACACGAGAGCGGTCGGTCACACGAGAGCGGTCGGTCACAGGTCGCCGTGATTCAGTCATTTGCCGAATTAGCGGGGGGTGTGTTTTATCGCACGTTTTGGTCGACCGTGATGTACCTGGCGTCAGAGAGCAGAATGGTCAGCTCAGTCAAGGTTTCTTCCGAGGCGCAAATGGGAGCGATCGATTACTTCGACTTGCTTTGGTTCTGCGAGGAGATGCGTTACCGTAACCGGTTTCATGTGGTGAGGGCCGAGTGCGCAGCCGTGCGAGAGGGAGCCATGCGCCACGCCGGCTTCAACCAGAACGTGCCGAGTGAGTTCTGGCTGCAGTTCAGTAGCGCTCAGGGCCACCTTGCTGTTACGCCTCAGTCGGGTGAGTCGCGTTTCAAAGCCTTTCTGTTGGACAAGAAGGTTGTGGCTAAAAAGGCTGCGGGAGGTAAGATGGTTACCGCGGCGGAAGTTAAGGAAGGGTACATGCGTAATTTCATGGATATGCTCAGCGTGTCTTCGCAAGGCACTGAACTGAAGACCGTTCTGCACTTGGAGAGCATTGCGCTCGTTTCTGCAGCCACTGGACAGTCGCACCGTTTCCACCCTCAGCTCATGACTGAGTGGTCCGCGGAAGGCTACTATAGCTCCCTCAAAGAAGGTACGCCGCAGCACGTTTGCTCCGTGGTGAGAAGGTACCTCAAGCATGACGTCTCTGGACGCCTGATCTCACGCAAAGCCTCCATGATTCCACGCTTTCTACGAGCAGCGATGTTCCCGTGCTATTTCGACCACCTTGCGTCCTTCCGTCTCTTCAGGGACGCCGAGGATCTAATAGAAAAAGGGCTTCGAAACATTCAAGCAAACTGTAATCGAGACTAACCACATAACCGCACACACAGGCAGGCAGGCAGGCGTGCAATCAGCACACACAGGTGTGCGAACACACAGGTGTGAGAACACACAGGTGTGAGAACACTCAGGTGTGCGGGATTTGTCGAGTCATGCGTGTGCACCATGTCATTGACTGATTTAACAGGTGCATTTGCACAGGCGTTTGCATGGAATAAAGTACTAGGATTTTGTGGAGTAGGTAGCTGGAGTTTCAGAGCTAGTGATCCACCCTCAGTTACTTGTACGGATGTGAAGGGAATTGACATGGCGATGATGATGAATATTGGGGGTGCGAAATCGCCGTTGGCGAATGACCATTATCGGATTCTATTGGATTCGCGTTTGATTCCAAGTCAGTACACAAAAATCGAGACGACATGGGGAACTACATATCAGAATTTATTGACGACAACACGAGAGAGCTATATGCAGGTATCTGATCTAACCGATAATTTCAGACTAAGAGATCTGTTATGGCGATTTCCGATGTATTATAATGTGGAGGGTGAGTGTGGTACTCTTCTGCCAGAGATAACTTATGATGATCCCGCCTACCAGATCTTGCCGACATGTCGAGGTGATGAGCTATTTTATTATTGCACAAGTTATAATGATGGTGGACGTCTTGTAATAGAACTTAAAACGGAAGTTACCATAATGATTCCACATCAACTCACACATGATGATGCAACCATCGTCATATCAATGCCTAATGAGGCTGGTAAAAAAGACCGTATTAAAAGAGGCTCATCCAATCGATCTGTTACATATTATACCGTACAAACAGTACCAGCTAATTGGAGTCTTCAGGATCTCAGTACCTTCATATTCAAATCCGTCTTTGTCACAATCGATACTGATATACCCTTCTCACAAATCGGCGGCATATACCTCGCCTCCAACGTACAATGTGCCGTCTAACATCAATTGACACACACACCATGACCACACCCCTACATACCTACCGGTATGTACCCACCCGGTACATACCGGACTACATACCGGACTACATACCGGTTATTTATCACACCAAAGTGTCAAGGCGCCCGACCCGGACTATTGGAGCTGATTCAAGTACAGCTAATTTCATCGAAACTGTTCTTTTTTTCGATCAAAAATGCAGTCTTATGCTGCACATAGTGAGCACCCTATGTGCCACCGATGGATGGATGGTTGTCAGTCTAGTCGAACACAGTCTTTTTTTTTGATGATAGGGAGGAAGAACACAGTGGCATTAAAAACGGTCAAACGAGTCCGTAAATTGCTATGGAGCCCGATAACTGAGCCTGATGCTAAATCACTATGGTTACTAAGTGACCGCGGTATGGATTATGACCGTGATTTAATACGGGAGATGTACGTAAAGATACTAACAACAAAATCAATTAAGAAACATCAAGCATCAGATAAAACATTAGACCAGGACATAATCCAGGACATAATTATTCTACCATCAATTTTAGACCCAAAGTTATACCAAAGATTAGTTGTCTGCTTGAAAGGATTACGTTTAACAGACTTAAAGATAGAATTAATTCTCGATCAATATAATAAACTATACATGAATACTAAATTTGGACAACTGTCTACAATTTCATCTCCTACTATACCACAATATGATGAACTAAGGCTAATATATGAAGCACTGCCAGACTTTTCAGTTACTAATTTCTATCAGCAAAAGGTATACAATCAGCAACATGTTAAACACAAAGTTGATAAATACAAACTCGAATGCCAGAATATCACCGATGAAAATGTTTACAAAACAATCACCGACTGGCTGGATTATAGATTAATGGATATTGAAACCAAATATCCATACTTACGATTCAATCTTAATATTATATTAAAGTGTGGAACACACGATTTATGTTTGGAACACGATTCTGATTTCTACATCTACATTCTGATTTCTGCACTGTCTGTCTAATTATCATCATACACGTTTCATCATATGCGTTGTTGTTAATCATGGTTATGTTGTTGGTCATGTCTGTAGGAGGTACGAAGTCGAAAGTACTTTAGCTAGAATTTGTACACGATTATTAGAATTATATCATTGTATACTTACATTCGACGAGTGTTACCATGACAATATTGTGCCTTTATTACACACCATACGATCTATTGGAAATGTATTAAATGAGGGAACCTATTTGGGTAATGCCAAAGGTTTTAATCTTAGTTCTTTGAAATTATTTCTAAGTCATAAATCCGTGGATAAGGAACATAATCTTACAACGTAATTTACACATAGTGATTTGAATGATCATTACACATAGTAACACATTGTTATCATGATCATAGCACATAGTAATGTTATCATTAGTGATCACATAGTGGTAGCATGCATGTAGTAATCATGATTATAGAGAATTACGAAAAATCGTGAATAGATCAGGGATTAATTATGAGCCCTTGTTTCGGTTTTATACAAGGATCCGTAATTTTGATAATATGGATGAAATTTATAATGACTATCGGGAATTGAATAGTACCATCAATACAACTACGCCTTTGATAATTACAAAACAGAGAGCTCAGGGAACGACAGCTATTATTGAGGAAACTTCAATGGACAATGTTGATCAAACGATTATTGAAATCTATCGACATTATCTCAAATTTCAACATGTAGTACATCCATCTCACTTCCGTTACTTCCCCCCTTCCCCTTCTACCACATTGTTACGTACCCCCCCCCCCCTTAATCACGTAAATCACGTAAATCTCCTGTACGACCTGTACGATTTCAGTGGTTGTTGTTGACAAGAGTGGCTATAGAGGACAAGATGAAATATGTCCAAAAAAGCCTAAGAGGTATTGAACAAAAGTTAGGAAGCAAGGACATTTATTTATTGAGGGATTTTGTTGGTGAGCTATTTCAACTCGGTAAACGAAGTCGTCCGGATCCAACCCAGATCATCGACTATGCTACAGGGACGTCATCTCCCATAATGTCATGGGAGATGGAACGGGGTATCTCCGATGATGGTCTATCAGTAATTGATTTACTAGGTAAGCCCCTACCACACACACGTGTGTGCTGAAATTAATCGGTCGGTTTTCTCATCACAGCAAATTCATACGACCATGAAAACATGTACGGTTGACCCTACTATACCATCCGGCCCATCTCCATCCCGAACCAATCGCTTCACTATCATGAATCGCCCGAATGAACGCCCGAATGAACGCCCGCATGAGCGCCCGCATGAGCGCCCAACTACTTTGTTCTTGTAGTTGATTTACCTTCGTCACAAAGCTCGAGCACACCGAGCACGGTAGACATGTTGGAGAGTCGAAGTTCGCCTATGGATGAACGACCTTCACCAATGACTGCATGCACGGCATGTGAATTCGAGGCGCTGTTCTTCATGCTGCACGAAACGGGCGGGCTGGTGGACTTGCATCCCCCACCCGTTCCGAATCGCAGCCTTTTCCGACTTGTTCTAGCCTGGCTCCGTGCACTCGCTCTCGGCCTCCTGGCCAAACTTTGTCTTGGACCTGTCGCTCTCAGCTCTCCTGACCTCAGCGAATGGGGCTCACCCGCCGCCGCATCCGCTGTCGCTACGCCACCCGCCAGTGGTACACGCAAAGTCAACTTCAACCGCTTCGTCCTCGCACACATGTGCACGCCCCAACCACGAAACCCAGGTAACTACTGACCGGCATACACACCTTTTGTACAGGCACCCACTGGCGCTCTAATCTCGCCCGCTGCTATTACACACCCAACTAGATTCGAACCACCGTTCAACCGATGGTGAGCATCGTTTGGTCAACAGCAAACAAACAAATGATGGATGAACTAACGGTGAGATCCCCATAGCGGCGATCGTGGCGATCCCGATTTTTTCCCGTGAATATAGCGAGTAGGTCGCCACACTGAAAAGTGACGGCACACGTAGCATAGTGGACAGGTGTGCGTGCAGCAATATCTTGTTGCTCAGCTCGCCGCAGCGTGGCCCTGTCACTATGCCCCCCCGTTTTTAATATTGCGCAGACGCGTGATTGTTCGCGTTTGGAAACATAATGACGAGTCCTTGGAAATTCAGGCTAGGGTGTTGTGCGATGCCAACGAAGTTACAGTCGGTACCGATGAAGACGATCTTGAAGACGTTGGTATCAGTGGGTAACTTTGAGTTGGTGGAGATCACCGGTTCATTGTTATTAACTCAGGACCCGATAGAATGGCCGGTTGTGGATTGTTTAGTAGCGTTTTACAGCAAAGGATATCCATTAGAAAAAGTGTGTGCTTACGTAGCACGCGTGAATCCGGTGGTGTTAAATGACGTGAAGATGCAATATATATTACGGGATCGTCGTAATGTATATGCTCGATTAGTAGCGGCTGGTATACCGGTACCTACTCATGTAGTAGTGGATCATACATGTGAACAGATTGAAGAGTATGAAGACTTTATTATTTGTCGTGGACAGAAATTAAACAAGCCTTTTGTAGAAAAGCCAATAGATGCTGATGATCATAACAACTATGTATACTATCCAACAAATGCTGGTGGTGGTTGTAAAAAGTTATTCCGTAAACTCGCTAATCGTTCTTCAGAATATTATTCGGATATTTCACATATACGACGTGATGGATGCTACATCTATGAAGAGTTTTTACCTACACTTGGCACCGATATAAAGGTGTATACTGTAGGGCCAATGTACGCTCATGCTGAGGCTCGTAAGTCACCGACACTGGATGGGCGAGTACAACGAACAGAAAACGGCAAAGAAGAACGTTATCCAGTTCTACTTACTAATGAAGAAAAATGGATCGCTTATATGGTAGTTGAGACATTCAAACAGACAGTATGTGGCTTCGATATTTTACGTACTACCTCCGGACGTGCTGTAATTTGCGACGTCAATGGTTGGTCTTTTGTTAAGGGTAATCCAAAATATTATAGTGACTGTGCTAATCTCATCAGCTCCATGCTTTTACATGCATTGAAACGTCGTCGTGATCATACTACCACACATAGAACCTATAGTCAATATCATCTTGGCGCTAAATTACTCCCTCCAAAAAGAGGTGGATCTATCCAGCTCAAAAGTATGGCTAGTGATTGGCATCGAGACACAGATCGAGACATAGATCGAGATATAGATCGGGACATAGATCGAGATATAGATGTGTTACCGGGAACTGAGCCCCGGTCACCGGATGAGAAGTCCACTACGGAAAAGTCGGATAAATCTTCACCTGAAAAGTCGGAAGATACTACGACTAGTAGTGGTGGTCGGTTTCAAGAGAATAACACTCGCGGCAATGGTGAACTGGGGCGGGTTGATATTGTTCGGGATGTTGGGGAGTGTGTGCCACGACGAATTGTGGCACGTTCTCTAAGCAGTGATCGTTCAGTTGTGCGTGGAGTGAGACAGTCATCGAGTATGGAGCCTTGGGGTGGATTGCGTAGTGAGAAGTGTTCTGGCTGGGTATTGGATGAGATAACACGAGAAGAGTTAATAACGATGGGAGTACCAGTGAATTGGTTCGGCAATGAGGAGGAAGAGGAAGAGGAAGTGTCACAGAAGTTACCTCCAGAGGAGTCTGAGGAGGAGTTACAGACGATTGTGGTTGTGATGAGACATGGTGATCGATCACCTAAGCAGAAAATGAAGTTTGTAACATCGAACGCGAAAGTTTTAAGGTATTTTACAGAACGTGCAGATGGGGCAAGAGCACTAAAATTGAAGAATAAACAAGACTTGTTACAGTTTCTGGGACTGGTTGAAAAATTGGTGGCGGAAGATTTGGAAGGTGAAGAGGCTGTTTGTTTCGCACGTGTGCGAGACTTACTTAACACAGCAGACGTCGAGATAACACGAAAGGTGCAATTAGTGATACCCAAAGATCTATCTAACGATACAGATGGGATCATGGTAGTTGTTAAATGGGGCGGAGATTTAACATCCAAAGGATTAGAGAGTTCCGAATCACTTGGACATAGGTTACGAGAAAGTCTTTATCCTGGTGAAAAGGATGGACTACTTAGATTACACTCTACCTTTAGACATGATTTCAAAATGTACACCTCGGATGAAGGACGATGCCAACTCACTGCTGCTGCTTTCACCAAAGGCTTCCTTGACTTAGATGGAGATCTCACACCTATTCTTATACAGATGGTCGCTAGAGACGAACGCGGACAAGAATTGTTTTATGAAGGAGAATATACACAAACTGTGAAATCATGTAAACAAATGATTCAGGAAATGGTCAATACGGATCATGAACCAACTGCCTGTTGTAAACTCTTCTTTCAACCACGATTCGCCTTCGTTAAATGCCCCGTTTGCTGCCCAGACGACGCATATCAACTCACCACCAACGAATCTGTTAGTCCGGATCACATTACTGATCACAATCTCTGTCCTAATCTCAGTCCACCCGCGATCGCCGTTTGGCAATCGTTGCTAAAAGGCTATCATAATGCGCTGGTTAAAATTGGGCCATTCCATACCAGATTGAAGAAGATTAATAGCACGATTGAAGCCCTCATTTTGAAGATCCGTGCGTGTATAACAGATATAAGTGAGATGCCTGAAGATGTAATGAGTAATGAGTTAAAGCGGACGCAGAAGAAGCTTAATTCGATGCTTGCTCGCTGGACTTTGTTGAAGAATTCGTGGTGGAAGGATGGGAAATTTGACGCGACGAAAATTCCCGAAGTTTACGATAATTCGCGGTTTGATGTGTTGCATAGCCACGCCTTTTTGCATTATGCTGACGCTCATTCATTGATTAAGGATGTGTTCACTCTGACTGAGAATATTGGTCCTTTGGTATCAGCTTTGGAGTTTGGTGTGACTCCAGATGACCGTGTGGAGATTGGAAAAAAGACAGTGCCAAAATTACTCAAGAAGATTTATGATGACATTGTGTTCCAATATCTAAAGCAGACTGATGAGGTGCAGGCTCATCAACCAGAAGTGTTGGACACATTGGACCGCGCGGATCGCGAGCACATTATTCTGCGTAAGGCGGAAGCGCGCCGTATGGGCATCAAAAGTCCGTGGCGTAAAGTACGCAGTCGCTATTATGCAGCTTCTGCCAGCCACGTAATGTCGCTCCTGAATGTACTTACCTACGGCCAGTTCATAAGTAAACAAACCGTTGGCCACAACCGGAACGCTTCCGAAATATCCTCCACCACCACCACTACTCAGAACCACACAAACCCCAGTTCGAATCCCCAGCTCGGTTCAAATCACAAATTTGGTTCAAATTCCTCCTGCCAAGGCGTAGACGACACGTGCTACATCCCACCTCTGTACATCACCGCCGGCGACGCGCCGTACTTATCACACATCAGCATTCGTGTGTGGCGTCCCGCTGCCGGCAAACACGCCAATAATCTCACACTGCGAGACCTCCGAGTCGAGCTTTGCTGGTCCTCCGGCCCGAATCTCATTCGCTGCACAGCCGCCGATTTGGCCAACGTCCTACGCCATGGGTTCAGTAGCAGGAAACAAGCCACAGAATTAAGCCCCCTCACCACCCGCCGACTAGCGAAACCTTCCTGACTAGCGGTCTTGGTAGTAACTGACTGGTAGCTATCCGGTTGGTAATCAACGTTTTGTTAACCCAATCGAACAACTTAGTCGAACCTGACGACAGACAAATCCCCCAATCCGTTCGCTGGAGGCCTTAACTGAAACAGCTCCCGCGATATGAGTCCAGCAGAGCGAAAAAACACCTCCCGCGAACCAGAGCGGAAACGCGCCCGCTGTCACTCAGATTCTTTTAACAAAACGTTGGCCACTCAAGACTCACTCGAGTGGTCAAGGATTTCATTCTATAGTATTTAGAGACTGGACCAGGGCCCCAGACAGGTAGGTGTCGTGGACTAAATAAAGCCCTTCAGAAGGGGACGGAGGCGAGTCACTCTCTTCTTCAATTCGTCAATCAGTTCGTCGTATTGGGGAGTTCAAAAAGCCAGTCCAATCGCACCTTAGTTTTCGTCAAGTAGTCGCTGTGGGCAGTGCCACCGCCATAGTCTAGTCACTACAACAGTAGTCTCCACCGTTGATTGTCATCTTTAGTCACCCACTATCTTAGTCATACCACCATCGTGTTTAGTCACACCACCGTGTTTAGTCACACCGCAGTGCCTAGTCACACCACCGTGTTTAGACACATCGCAGTGACGTAATTTAATGCTGTAATTTAATGCCGTAATTTAATGCCGTAGTCTAGTCACCACTGTAGTCGACTGGTATGGTTACAAGGTCGCCATGTGGGTGGAATTCCCCACAAGTGTGGTATGTAGATGGGTGGTGACTACCACGTGTGGGTGGTCCGCACGGTCGAGCACGTGGGTGGTTAGTTGAGTAATTGTGCGACAAAGGCGCGATAGTCGATTTGGTCGCCGGTCATACCCATATCGGCGAGAATGGCGTTGAATTCAGCGTCGGTGAGGGGTTCCCCATAAGTGCGTAGAAGATGGCTGAGTTGGTTGCGGGTGAGCTTGCCTGAGTGGCTCTTGTCATAGTGCTCGAAGAACTTGACGAGGTTGTCGACAGTGTCATTGTGACCGCATGTCTTCATCCACTCTTCAATGTCCTTGGCACTGATGTTCTGACCCTTTCTTGCCTTGAGTTCCTGAATCTCAGCAAGGGACGGCGCACCGCCCAGACGCCTCGCGACATCTGCCGCCTGTTCAGGTGTACAACCCGATGTGCTACCCGTGATCTCCTTCATCATAGACTCCACCTCATTCGGCTTCAGCACCGGCCCTGTGGGGATAGGTTCCTCCTGAGTTTTTTCAACCGACCCCGTCACCTCATCGTCTGAAGGCTCCTCGATGTCACTGTCAGCCCGATACCGCCCAGCCGGAATCCATAACCCGTAGTCAAAGTACTCCGCCGGTGGCAACAAATCCCGACACAGATCTCTGCACAACATCGCCATCTAAATAAATTCAATCCAAGGTGCACCTACAAACTCACTCACCAGATTTACCGCCAAAAATTTATGACTTCTCAGGTCGCTGTTAAGAACACCTTCTTACAGGTACACACACCCA